AAACACTTTCACTCTGCCTTTGGTCGTCGGTACAATTTTTATCGTAAATAAAAACGTTAAATGTTTTTTTAACGTGCGCCACTTAACACTCGGCACAATTTAAAGGCAATTGGGCACAATACAGCAACAATAGCACCAACACCAACACTGACAAATAAACAAACACACACACACATACATACAGACTGTGGCTTCTTTTTATTTTAGACGTTTTTCTTTCGTTCCATTTCTCTTCTATCCAGTGCTGTTCTCTTATGTGCTGCTCCGTCCTGTTTGGTTCTGTTCGGTTCGTTATTCTTTTTTATTATTATTATTTTGCCATTTTGCTAGCTGCTCGTAATTTAATATAGATTTTTTGTTCATGTCCTCTGTCCTCCGTCCTCTGTTGCGCTCCATGACTCATTTTTTATGTTTCAAACAATAAATTGTCAATTGATTTTTGCGCTCATATTCTTCTTTTTCCCCTTCTCTCTCTCTCTCTCTCTCTCTCTCTCTCTCTCTCTCTCTCTCTCTCTCTTTATATTTTTGCAAGTACGAGTATTTATGTGATCCCATATATTTATTTACTTTTATTTCTCGTTCTGTCAACAACGTCTTTTGTGGAAATGAAATTGTGTGCAATATGTTTCATTTCTTGCTCCATTCATGTCTCGGTCGGACATAAATGTGTGTGTCTTTTTTTCTTTGTGTGTGTGTGTATGTCGGTGAGCGTGTGTGCGTGTGACATTTATTGGTCACGCCTTTTGCCACTTGCAACCTGTCGAACAAATCATAAAAATAACATTTTTATATGTGGCTGATATACACAATACATAATAATAAAATGCCTTGTCGCTTTTGGCGCTCTCATTTCAATTATATGTTGTGGGTGGAGATGGCTAGCAGCGAGAATTAAAATGCGAGGTCTGCTCAACAACTAACTGTTATGTGGCAAAAGGAACAGGACAATATAAGATACATACAATTGTATGTACAAGTAGATATTTTTGTAATTTTTATTGGCTTTTTTATTTCGTTTTATTTAGCTTAAGTTCTCTATTGTAAGGGCTTTTGATTTTTATATCGACAGCTTTGTTTTCTATTGTCATTTTTGATGCAAATAAGAAAAATATTACTTAAAAACAACTTCAATAACTATCCTCGCATTGCTTATACATATGTTCGCTGTATGTATATTATTTGTGTTTGTTTATATAGAAGTGTGCGTGTATGTGTATGATACATAAATGTATAATGAAAACGCAACACCCTCACGAATACGAGTAATGCAAGAATAAATAAACAGGCCAAATATAAAAAGATGAAAATCATTTGAATCGAAAGCAAAAGCGCAAAATATGAGCGTTCGAGTGTTTATTTTGATTGATAAAAATATTTTTTATTGTGTCGTTATTTATTTATGCAGCTTCTGCGTCTTTCTCTCTCTCTCTGTGTGTGTGTGTGTGTGTAATTGTTTTTATTGCCAATGACAGTTTTCCACTTTTACATCGCTTTGTTTGTTTTGTGTGGATGGCCCTGGCCCCCCTTGAATTTATTAAAATGAAGCCTTTTTTTCAGTTGCAGTTAAATTGCTGCACTTAAAGGCGCAACAATTTGAGGACTATCGCTGAAAATGACATGAATGTGAGGCGTTCAGGAAATTCGAAAGAGCACTTTTCCCTTTATTGCCTTCAGTTGATAAATTTAAAATGTCAAAATTCAAGGTCTTCATGTCGGATCCCACATGGCTTTTTATGGGATAGCAACCACATTTCAGAAGGATGCCATTCAACATTCTAACGACTGACAGGAAACATTGCGAAAAACTCAATTAAAAAACTGAATTTAGTTCAGCTAAGCAAATACAACATTTATTGATTGCTTTATATATTTATATTAGTTATTATATATATAATTTCTAAATCACTATGACGAAATTCATGGGCGACTTGCACTAAACATGATCATTTATTTATTTATTTTGTGATTTTATTTTGTGTCAACAAAGACAGACTGTCGATATAGGGACAACAAAAATTGAAAAGGTCATATAAGCTATGTTGATACATTATAATCAAATTACAATAATATCTAAAAAACTCCTCCGGCTCAAGGGTTTACCATTCTACAGCCAAGTGTAGTCAAAGGCGTTAATAGACCTGTAAGCAAACATGTTATAAATAAAATAACTAAATAAATATCCTGTACCCACTCCCACTGAAATAAAACTACAATTATTTTAATATTTTTTGAATTAATTTTTTTTTTAAATTAAGTTGTTTGAGTAAAATTGATAATATAAAAGGATATTTCGTTGTACATCTATTAATGTAAGCAAAAGATAATAGTTAACTGCAAGAAACTGAGAAATTAAGACGATCTAAAAGGGAAGAAGAATCAACGCTCCCGGCAATCCTCCGACTAGCTAGTTTATTTGAATGACATGAGTTTATTTAAATTTCCCCCTCCCCTGCTACAGAGTTTCATCAGTAATGTCCAAAACTCCACAACTACAACGGCGTTAACTCTAAGAAAAGTTATTATTATTTCACTCACCAAACATACTATTCTTCCCAATTCTAAACAATGTGTTCCCTAATGTCATGGCAATGACCTAAGACACTATTAATTCTATCTAGAACCCCAAAAAAAGTGATGCAATAAACCTTATCTTCTTGCTGCTGTAAAATTTTTTTTAAATAACGAAATAAATTTTATTAATATTCCGCAGCTGTTCCCATTTGAATGCAAGCTGCACAGCTGTTTAAGCAACATTTCTTATACAAATGTTTGAGTGTAGGAATGTTTGCAAAGCAAACGAAAACAATAATTTAGTACAACATTTATAGGAGCTGTCGAGAACTGCTGCATAAGCAGAAAATATCACAGTGAGCGAGTTAAAAGCAAAAAAAAACGAGTACAGGAAACGGAAATACACACACACACACACACACACACACACACACAGACACGCGCAGCAATGGAACTTGCACCCACACGCATACACACACGTACACACACTAACATAAATACAAATACCATTCTCATTTGCCTTTTTGCTCACGTCTGTGTAATTTATGCCAAAAAGCAGTTGCAATTTTTTTCCGCCTTTCGCCCAGTTTCTTAAGTCAAGGAGGCAGTGACGCGCCTTTTGGCTGCTTTTTAAACAACAACAACAACAACAACAGCAAGATGAACAACAAAAATTACAAATCACACACAGCAAAAAAAAACAACAACAAAAACAACAATGAGGCGCATAAGCCATGGCAAATGTAATATTTGTTTTCTTTTGACATTTATTGTTATTTTTTGGTACGTCACCTAAAAGCACACATATCTGTATATATATGTACATATATATATGTGTGTGTGTGTGTGTGCCTGCATGTGTGTGTGTGTGAATTGTATTGTTATTATTCTGCGCTTTTGTGTACGTTTTAGTTATTTTGGTATGCGCTTTACTCTTCTCCCACCATTCACGTACCGCCATTTCGTTTTGTGTTGAGGTTCGCAAATTGATTTTCACAAATCAAGAAACATGTAACTGTTAATATATATGCACAATATTTTAGCCGCATTGTTAACAAGTTGCGTGAAATTTTTAAATTGTTGTTCATTTTATTTGATTAATTTTGATAAAGACTTTTCCAAAGGAAAGGAAAAGAGGTTTTTTAAATGTTTGTTTATTTTATTGGCTTAATTTTTAATCTATTCATTGAAAGATTCGATTGTTTGAAAAACACTTGAATAATTTAACAAATTGTTAGAGATTTTTTCCTAATTCGATGCATTTTACAATTTCAACAATAGCGTCAACAGAAAGAAGTGGAAAAGCAAAGTTGGATGCCCCGACTTTGATATACCCGCTACCTATCTCCTTTGAAATTCGAACTCATGTCTGGGGTACAGAGTTGAGACAAAGCATCAACAACAACAACTGTGGGCAGAGCTAGAGCAACTATATAAATTTCCCACCTCTTATAGTCTCTCATATCCAGGTGTGTTCATACGGACAGACAGACATGGCCGAATCGACCCGACTTGTCGTGCTGATTAAAAATATATATCTTTTGTGAGATCTGGCACGAATCCTTCTGTCTGCTACATTTTTCAATTCCAGCAAGCTTTACATTTCATTTACAGGGTATAAAATGTTAACACTGCAAAGCCCACTGTTATACTTAACATACTTACCGTGTTGATTGCATTCACTGTTAATCGATGCTGTAACATTCTGCTTACCATCGCACTAAAAAGAATTCGCTGTTAATTCTTGCATTTCGTTGTTAAAATTCCCGTAGAAATTGTAAATTTGAATGAAAATATTAAACTAATACCATATTAAACTATATACATGCACGGCGAAGTAAATTAACCAACTTTTTCTGTTTATGCGGCCCTAACGAAACGAAATAAATATCTTGATTACCTAACTTGAAACATTTCAATAGTTCTAATCGATTCGCTATACATTTTAAGGCACAAAACATATACACAAAACACATACATAGATTTAAAAAAATTACGCTTCTTGCTATATGCAAGTTTCAACTCCCTGCCAATATTTGATCAATGCGACCCACTGTGCCATGGGCGCCATGGACTAAAATATACAGCCCATGCCAGCACCAAGAACTTGCATGTGAGCACAGCCAGTTCTCGTGCCCATTTCTTCGAAAGCGACACTGCACGGCTGGAATTAAAAAAGCTCGGATAAGTCCTTGTGGAGGAGGTATGAGAGGACGCAGGTTTTGTCGCTGCATCGGAAATGAGATATCACAGACGACTAAATACATAACGGTATCCGGCTGGAAAGATGGTGCGGCGCCCGGAAGCGTCGACGGTGGTTGCGTGTGGCATGTGTGTGTAGGAAACTTTTCTACACATGCCGCTGCCGCTGTGACAGGAAAAACCAAAGCGGCGTTTCCGAGCGAACGAGCTGCTCAGCAAACTGAAAAGAAATCGCGGTCATTGCCCCTGCCCGTCTCTCAAAATGAAGTATACAGCCGGACTGACTCTCTGGTTTGAATGTTTAAAAAACTGAATGCTTATATTTTCTTTCCATCAAGTTGGCCATTGGCCGAGGCTGAGCACCGCAGGTGCCTCCACTTGCGTACAAATATCCAAAAAGTTGGGTATGTGGTTTTGTATTTTTTTCGTTTTAGTGAATTACAAATAAGCAAACGCCTTTCTACTTTCTATTCTGGTTGTTGCGCGCCATGTCCTTGGGGAAGGAGCGCACTGGCGGCGTGCGGATGCGACGAGCTTCGCGCGAACGATTGCGCACCACCTTGGAGTGGATGGCGCAGGAGACGCAGTAGTGGAGCTTGGCATAGAGCTTGGGCAGCACATAAGTGTCCCAGATGCTGGCCTCGGAGATATCACGCACAGCGGCGGCCTCCACAATGTTGCGGATGACGAACTTCTTAATCGCCTTGTCTTTTGGCACGCAACGTGCACAGTTTGTGCAACGCACGGGCTTCACATGGCCGCGGTTGTGCTTGTTGCGTCCTCCATTGCGGCGCTTCTTCGTCATTTTGTTTTAGCTGCATGTTGTTGGGGAGGCAGTCGTTAGCCGTTGTGGCACACAATTGAGTTTGGATGGCATGCATAATTACCTTAAAAGCGAATTGAAAATTCCCTGATGTAAAATCCGCGTGTTCACGCCAGGCGACACTTCAGTAAAAAGGGTGTTGCCAGCAGCAAATTTTCGGTATTTTAGCCAACCGGCAGTGTTGCCCACGAGGCACAATTCGCCGCTACTCAACACTGATTATTGAGCAATTTAAGCGCTACCAGAGTGACGAAAAGCCGCGTTCAGCACAACTAACAGTTGTGCACCTGTTGCGACTTCAACTGTAAGCAAACATTTTAAAACATTTAAACGACTGTTCTGTTTTATATTTAAAAATTAGTTAAAAGCATATTTAAATGTTAAGTTTAAATGCTGTAAAAATGCTAATATTTTATATAACAATTTGTTACAGCATTTTAAAGCGCAAGATTGAACATATGATCGAGGGTGCAGTACATAAATCGAAATTAAAATTGCCACCTCTAAACAGCTGATCGTTTCATTCATATCAATTGCGTTGACGTTGATATTCGCAACTGTGTGCCGCGTGGATTCAATTTTTGTAAAAATGAGTTTTAAAGTTCAACCCAAAGGCTTCGCCACCAAATCGATTCATGCCGGCCAGGATCCCGAGCAGTGGAAAAGTGCAAGTGTAATACCGCCCATCTCGTTGAGTACAACGTTCAAGCAGGATGCGCCCGGAGAGCACCGAGGATACGAATATTCAAGGAGTGGCAATCCAACCCGCAACGTCTTGGAAAAGTGCATGGCTGCCCTTGATAATGCAAAATATGGTTTGACCTTCTCCTCTGGCCTTGGCGCCACAACGGCTGTCCTAACTATGCTTAGCAGTGGCGATCATATTATTATGGGAGACGATGTCTACGGTGGAACGAATCGTTTAATACGTCAAGTGGCCACTCGTTTGGGTATATCTGCAACTTTTGTCGATCCAACCAATTTGGATAACATTAAAGCTGCCTTTAAGCCAGAGACTAAGTTGGTTTGGATTGAGTCCCCAACAAACCCACTGATTAAGGTTACCGACATCGAAGCGATTTCATCATTGTGCCACAAAACTGGCGATATCATCGTGGCTATTGATAACACTTTTCTAACATCATACTTCCAAAGACCTCTTGAACTGGGCGCTGATCTGGTTTGCTATTCGTTGACGAAGTATATGAACGGCCACACCGATGTCGTCATGGGTGGCATAACAATGAATAGCGAAAAACTATACAATGACTTGAAATTTCTGCAGAACGCTGTGGGAATCGTTCCCTCCCCATTTGATTGTTATCAAGTCAACCGTAGTTTAAAGACGCTGCCGCTGCGCATGAGACAACACCAAGCTAATGCTCTTGAAGTCGCAAAGTTCCTAGAGTCCCACGAATATGTCGAGAAAGTCTTACACCCGGCTCTGCCGTCCCATCCACAGCATCAGCTTGCTCTGAAGCAGACCTATGGCTATAGTGGTGTATTCTCCTTTTACTTGAAAGGCGATTTGAAGAACTCGTCTGCCTTTTTGAAAGCCCTGAAAGTGTTCACCCTAGCCGAGAGTCTGGGCGGATACGAGAGCTTGGCTGAGCTGCCATCTGTTATGACCCACGCTTCGGTGCCAGCTGAAGATCGAAAAACTTTGGGCATTACTGATGCCCTCGTACGCTTATCAGTTGGCCTCGAAGACGCCGAAGATCTGATTGACGACCTCAAGCAAGCTCTAAAGATAGCAGCAAGTGCTTGAACATACTCGTATTGTGCAAAAATATAATTAAGTTTAAAGGTTCAACCATTTTCGCATGAGATTTTATTATTTCTGTTTGAATGTATTATTTAATGGGCATTCAAGTAAATAAATATATATTCCACGCAAAGCACACTTTTAATCTGAAAATTGATGATTCTACGATGTTTTTTATTTAATAGAATATAATTTATAAAGTCATTCTGTCAGTTGATTTACTAAATATGGCGTTGCTTTGTCAACGCATTAAGTGTCAACAAAACAACCAAATCGCGCTTTCTCCTTATCTTTTTTACTGCAAACCCGGCGTGTGTATGAATACAGATATAATAGGTATGTATATAAATACTACATGCCAAATGTTTGGGCATTGTATTGGCATAGAGAGCTCTAATTTGCATTTCCAGACACATGATGAAGCTAAAGTTAATTGGATGAGCTTATCTCAAGATTCCAATACATACATATATGTTCCATGACAATTGCCATTTAATACTGATACAGGTTGTATGTATAGTGCCTGACTAAATATTTATATAAATCTCGTCATTTTGGCTGTTCTGCAAAGCTTGTCCGCTCTATCAGGTATTTTATACTCCGTATCCGTAGGGTAAAAGGAGTGTATTAGTTCTGTGCAAAGTATGTGACAGGCCGAAAAAGGCATCTCCGAACCCATAATGTGTGAATATTTCTAATTAAAGTTTATTTAAACTCCCATAATGCTCGGAATTTTTCAATCAAACTACCTCCAGTTAGTGATTATGTTTCCGTTCGCCGAGTTTTATCTCTACATAGGTACAGAGTATTTGAAAGTCGGCCCATCCGGCATTAGCTTTTCCATGTGTTTTAATAAAACCTTATCAACAATGGCGTGACATGGCACCTTTCTTAATGGTTATTTAATTTTATCGCTTCCCGTCACTATTAAAGCATCAATAATAGTTTAATAGCTTTAACAAGAATATTTGAATACCCTCTACAAAAAAACTTCCGCCACTTAGCGAGCTTTTCTTAAATTTGAACGATTTGGTTGAAATGTAAACCAAAGCTTGAGAGTTGCATGTGAATTACGTCTGCAAAGTTATAGAATTATAGATGGTATTGATGATATTCCCAAATATGCTGATTTTATATCTCAACTCTCTTACCATTATCCTAAATCACAAACCGTTCTCATCAATTCGTTAGATCTTTGATCATCAAGCCAGCTTTGTGGGGTATTATTTCTGATGGAATTACTTGTATATTTGATGATGAAATGGAATACCTTCTCAAAAATATCCGAATTAAAATCCCCCCAAACCCAACAATAGACAAAACGTAAAACGAATCATAACTTTCACAAAAGAAACCAATATACAAAGGTTTACAAAATATAATTCAAATAAATATACATATATGTACATGTTTAGTAAATATACTAAGATCGTCTAAGGAATGACTGAATGTACAAATTATTCATGCACAACATACATAGTTTGGGAGCCTTGTAGCAACACTGAAAAATAGTTAAAATATAATTTTGAAAGGATCTATAATAATGCACTTTTTAGTTTATTTATTTCAAATTTTTTCTGGTATTTTGTATTAATTGTATTTCCTTTTATTTGTAAGTATTTTTAAATTCGTACAACTTTTTTGTAATTCTTTATACACTTTACTTTCCATTTCTAATTTGATATTCTTAATTTCTTTTTTAGATTTCATTAACTCTCTGACTACTGTGGTGTAAATAGGAGCGACATTCACCCAACGATTGGTATTCATTATTCGTTATTATAGTAATACTTATTGATTTTGTATTTTAACGTTTTGACAGTCTTATTTGACGACACAAATAAATAAATAAACACCGAATTTTGTAGAATTTGTAAACGTATCAAAAAAGGAATATAAGATTTTAAAATCGAGATCAGTTTCAAGAGTTTTATGTTGTTTTTATAAATTGTAATCGGATTAATGTATGACACATACAATTTGGAAAGTGTAACTGAAATCATTAACTACATTATTTTTACAAATTAGGAGCCCGATCGAAATTTGAATGATATTTATTTATTTCTTTAAGCAGTCTGTTTTGGCTATTCTACTAACTTTAAAATAAAACATTTCTTATTTAAATATATGCCGAATAAAAAAGTACATAGTTATTGCATGTTTTCCGATGTGAAATAAAAGCTGACTCTTAAACAACATTCATCTTCACTATATAGTTGGTTTTTATCACATCCCCTATAATGAATATTCTCTGATTATCAGTTTAATAATAAAAAATGCAAATTCGTGCCTTTGTGATTTTTTGTACATTTTAATTGTTTGCTTCAGTGTTTTTGTCTTGCTTTTGCGTTGTTTTCTTTTCTGCTTTTCTGATAGTTAAGGTTTTTACAAATTATATAAAAAATACATAATCCGTCGTTGCAATTGTGTGGTGTGGTGGTGTCCTAGCCGCGCTCCTGGGAGACGCTGCGCCTGTGGTAGTTTCTATTTGAGCCGTCACGACTCTTGCGTCTGGAATAATCGCGCTCCCGCTCCCGATCACGTTCTCGATCACGCTCCCGATCTCTTTCTCTCTCTCGTTCGCTCTCACGCGGCCTATCCTTGCCACGATCCTTATCCCTCTCACGGCCTCTATCCCGTTCCTTCTCCTCCTCACGCCCGCGTCTACCCTCGCGCTCGCGCTCACGCTCGTGACTCCGCTGATTTCGCTGCTGCTTCCGATCATTGGACTGCCCTCGCTCCCGCACGCTATGACCATTGTGCTGATATCGTTCTGAAGTTTGCGGCACTGTTTCCGGTCCATCCAGGTTGAAGTCGTCGCTGTCGCCATGTTTTCCATGTTTGTTGGGCGCCGCTTTCGATTTGTTGTTGTGCTGCTCCTTTCGCTTGATTTTGGCTGGCGGTTCATGCTCGCTGCTTTGGTCCGATTCGCTGCTGCTGCTGCTTTCGCTGGAGCTGGAACTTTCGGTGGCGGCGCTGCTGGAGCTGCTGGTCTCCTCGTGTTTGCGCTTTCTTTTAGACTTGCTCTTCTTTTTGGCTGCGGCCTTTTTCTTCTCTTTCTCCTTTTTCTTATCCGAACGCTTTTTCTTCTTTTTGTCCTTTGATTTTTTCGTTTTGCGCTGCTTTTTGGGCTTTTTCTTGGATTTATCTTTGCGTTTCCGCTTGCGCTGCAGCTCGCTAGAGTCTGAGCTGGATGATTCACTATCGCTATCCTCATCGCTGCTACTGCTTTCCGCGCTACTACTAGAGCTGCTGCTACTGCTGCTGGAGTTGGACGAAGAGCTGGAGGCGGGGGGCGCCGCCACCGACGCGGCGACCGAACCATCTTTGAACGGATTGCTGCCTAAGATTTCGGCATTAATTGCTGGCACTGCCTTGGGCGCATTCTTCAAGAAGCGACGCAAATCATCCGTCAAGCCGCCGAGACCGATGGACGTGAAGAAATTGATAGAGAAGCGTGTGTTCCGCGGATTATCTTTAGGGAACAAGCCCGCTAAACTCTCCACCAGCACTTCCTCCTTTAGCTTAGTATTCAATTTGCTCAGCCCCATATATTCGGCCAATTCCTGGAATAGTATCTTGATGAAAATGCGACTCGAGGAAGTCGTATCATCCTCGTTCAATTGTATGCACTCCAACACGTCCCAACTGATGGCGTCGGTGAAGAGCAGATGGGCAAAGAATTTGCTAACATTGCGCAGTCGATTCGTGTCCAGGCGATGCGTCGTCTGGTATGTGTCCTTGAAGATCTCCTCGAAGGGCGGTATATAGATCTTGTTTATGTTGCAGAACCGTTGAGCCAACAGTCCGTAAAACTTCTCATAGGTGCGCTGCTCGGCGCAACAATCGAGAAACATGTGGCAGAGCTCCACCTCCTGGCCCGGCTTCAGCTGCATTTTCATCAACTTGTGAGCGCACTCCTCATAGTCCAAGCTCGAGTTAATTGTCAAGTAAATAGTGCGTCGGAGGGCTATCAAATTCGTCTCGGTATTATCTATAATATCGGTGGCTCCAGCTTTGGACTCGTCTTGTTCGCCACCAGATTCAGAATCGCCATCACTATCAGAGTCCGAGCCAGAGGAATCACCGGAGCCACTAGAACCACTGCCCAATATCTCACGGCTGAGTTCCTTGTACTTCTCCTCGTTTTCGGCATAATTATCATCAAATTTGAAGACATCTGCAAAAGAGTTTCATGGAAATTGTGTAAAGTTTTAGATTATTTCTATATAATACTGTAACTCAACGATTTACTCACTCAATATGTCCTCAGTTTCGGTGGCCTCTTCTAGCATCATCAGATGCGTAAACTGATCATCTTCCTCGACCAGCTCCAGCTCCTCTACAACCGCCTGATGGTCTTTGAAACCATCCTTGCGCACCTGAAACAGTACCTCGATCATGTACTGCACCCGCTGATCCAGTTTCCCTTCATGCAGGATGTTGCGCAGCATCTCGAAAATGGCGCCAATACCTTTTGACGACACTTCAGTCAGCTTCATGCCGCACTCCTTTAGAAAGGAAATGGCCACCTCCACCGAATCATCGGTGGGCGTCTCCACCAGCAACGTCAGTATTTCCAGCGCCAGAATTTCATGCGCCACCCGCTGATTCATCAGATGGGCGATGAAGCGTGTCGCCGACATACACACCAATTTATCGTTGCGCCGGAACGCGCGCTTGAACTGAATGACTAAACGCTTGAGCAGCAGTTCTCCAATGTTGGGGAACTTGGAATTGATGATGGCGCAGAGGGCCGCATAGACGTGTGTGAATGTCGGCGAGGCGGCCTGTGCTTGAATGATGGACCGACAGAGTAGACCCCGTCCCCTCACAATGTTCTCACGCAGCAATTCACGCGTGATAATTGCGATGTTCGTCACGTTCACCTTGTTGATGTAGCCGTGTATGGACTTCTTGAGCGCCTCCCAGGCAATGCGCTGGTAAGCCGCCGAGGCCTTGTCCGTGATCTCGGCCTGCATGAGGCGCAGCTTGGCGGGCGGTATGTATGCGCCACCGGTGCGTGACGTCAGCAGATCCACAGTACGACGCTGGCGTTCCGTAATCTTGGCCGTTGGTTCAGTTACGGTGACATTGTCATTGTTTTCCTTCTTGTCCTCAGTCGCACTGGTTGAGCGGCCTTTTCGTGCACGATCTTTGGACTCAGCACCGCGACTATCGTTAGATCGACGACGAGTTTTGGAGCTTTCGCGACGGTCACGTGAGCCTTCTCGACGCCCTCGAGAATCATCACGATGGGAACGAGATTCCTTGCTTTGACGATGGCGTTTCTCACGCTCCCTGGCCCGTTCCTCATCCTGCTTTGCGCGCTCCTCGTGCCGCTTCTGACGCTCAGCGCGTCTTCGCTCCAATGAACTGGAACGTCTGCGTATGGGACTGATGCTACGACTGCGTGTCCGCGTGCGCCGCCTTCGTCTATTGCGTGGTGAGCGACTACGACTAGAACTGCGTGTGCGCAGATCCCGATTCCGACCTCGGTCTCTCTCCCTATCTCGCTCTCGATCCCTAGAGCGACTGCTATGTCGTCGCCGGCTGCGCTTCTCATCTGCGCTTCGACTACGCCGGGTGCTGCTTTTGCTGCGTCTGCTTGGCTCAGGGCCCATGTTGATTAGCGCATTGGCAGTTGCAAGTTTATCCGCCACCGGCGGCACATCATCATCGTCTTTCTAGAGGATTTACAAAAATATTAGTAAATTTAAATGCTATTTCTGGGTTTCTTTCCAGCACTTACATCAGTTATTTCGCCCTCTTCACTGTGGTGGGTAACCGTTTTCTCTGGTTCAGCATCACCATTGGTGGTAACTTGCCGATTTGCAGACTCTGCTTCTGATTCCTGCTCTGGTTCTGGATCCTTTGTCGGCTCAACGGACACAGTCGGCTTAGCTGTTTCAACTTCAGGAGTTTCTTTAAGCGGCACTTCCCCATTATTCTTCACCACCGCCTCCACAACAGCTACATTATGGCCTCTTCCTTCAACCGTTGACGTGTCTGTTTTTTCCGTCTCCTGTGGCTGTTCCTGCAATTCTGCTTCTTCCTTCGCCTTCACCACGTCTGCAGGCACCACCACTTTCTCAGTTGCACCTCCCACTGTTGCATCCTCCTTCTCATTGTCAACGACAACTTCTGCTGGTTGCGGTTGCCCCTTTGCTAACGCTGCTTCTTCTTCCTTTGCTTTGCTACTTCGACTACTTCCTACACTACTATTGCTGCCGCTGCCACTTCCACTACTTTCGGAGCTCGACGATGATCCGCTGCTGCTGCCGCCGCTGCCACTGCTTGAGCTGCTGCTGGTGCTCGAATCGCTTTCGGCATCGCTATCTACCATTTTCAGACACTCTTTAAATTCCTAACTAAGCTAATTATAATTTAATGGTGCGTGCGAAAAATTTTACACAAAACGTTGGCAAACGCGGCCGCTTGTGGCCAACCGAGAGAGTGTGGCAACCCTTATCATGCGCTGTGTTGTATTTTGTGGTTCCGGCGAACGATCCAGTTTCAAACTGGAGTTTTCAATTTTTAATCCTGTGCATCATTATCGATAACATCCATTCTGAAACTGTATTTAGTTTTAAAAACTAAATAAGTTGATTGAGGGTCTACTGTAAGAAGTAAATAAATAAATCAATAGTAAAATATAAAACAAGAAAAAAACGCGCTGAAAGGTAGTCTTTAAAAACACGATAGTATACTTTTTACGAGTTCATTAATCGTAATTAGAAGCTCTTAGCTTTGTTTTTTAAAACTACAACGCTTGAAAATGTTCTGCAGATTATATTAAGGTTCAAAGAAAATACCAATTCCCAATTGTTGAAACTTTTTGTATTTGATTTATGTAGAAACCTTAGGGAAAGGGAGGATATTAAAGAATCAAGATACGGAACAAAAATAGGGTTTCTGGTAATATATGAGATCTAATGTAAATGTTGGACTTGGTATAATTTGTTGTTTCTCCGCAACGTACGATTCTTGAATTTGACCAAACACTAGTTTTTTGTTAGTATTTTTTGCTGTAACAGAATGCCATGAAATTTGTGTCAACTTTTACCAGTTGATGATTTTGTGGACGTTTGCTCATTTCAAGCTGGACATCCTGACGGAACAGTTCGAACAGCGGTAGTAGTAGTTAATTGTTAATTTTTTAAATTTTCATTTAAAATGGATTTGAATATTTATATTCTGAAATGGTTTGTTTTGCCTATATTGTGCAGAGAAGCTCCAATTATTTTATTAGCATACCAATTTTATTTACTTTTCTCGTTTTTTAACTTATTTAACTTATTTTCTTTGATATTTAACTAATAATGTGGGTATGTCAGAGATAGGCAGAAGAACTTTCGCTTCCTTTTGAAACCTTATTATTATCATACCAATTTTATTTACTTTTATCGTTTTTTAACTTATTTTCTTTGATATTTAACTAATAATGTGGGTATGTCAGAGATAGGCAGAAGAACTTTTGCTTCCTTTTGAAACCTTATTATTATCATACCAATTTTATTTACTTTTCTCGTTTTTTAACTTATTTTCTTTGATATTTAACTAATAATGTGGGTATGTCAGAGATAGGCAGAAGAACTTTTGCTTCCTTTTGAAACTTTATTATTAACATACCAATTTTATTTACTTTTCTCGTTTTTTAACTTATTTTCTTTGATATTTAACTAATAATGTGGCTATGTCAGCTCTACGGATCAGGTCTACTCGTCAGATTTGTGCACGTCAGATGTCTGTTTTGACGCTATACTTCTTGTGGGTTAGTTAAATATGGATTTCGTCAGTATATCATCGAATAGCACGGCACATATACAGTTCCCTTGATAAATGCCCAGAACTTGTTACTATATTTGTAATCTTTGAAAATATAAAAATATAAATACTGGGGAAATCAAACGTACCTTTAGTTTAAATAACAAACTATCATAGAACAATCTATGGCCCTCCAGAAATGCCTCACCCTAAACATCTGCAGTTTTTAAAGCAATTTTTTTTTTCAATTTTCTCAGTATCACATTAGTTTGTGTCAGATTGGCGAAAAACAATAATATTTGACCGAAATATTCCTGATTCATTATAAAGTCACACACTTTAATTGAAATTTGTAATGCAAGCGATTTCTAGGTGTGGAATTAGAAAACTATCGATTTGGCTTTGTTCTCAAAAAAAAAAACTCTCAAATTTACTTTTAAACACGATATTACTATTAGAAATTTTCGTGTCAATCTTAATAAAGAATAAATAATGAGTAAAGCGTCATGTTTTTAAAACGAAAACAGTTATATGTATTTAGTTTACAACATAATGTAGCACATACTTCTTAATGCAATTAAAAATACGTTGAAGTTATTGGTAGATCGTTTAAAACTAGAGAAATAGGCCTACTGATGGTCCGGTTTTGGCGGCACTGTCTCTGGTATTTTGGGCTTCACATCATCATCGCTATCACTGCTTGATGACGAGGAACTAGACTCGTTGGCTTTTGTCTTCTTCTCGGGTATTGTGTAGGGGAACGTCTGTGACTTCTCCTCGACAGCCAGTTTGAGACGCAACAACGCCGTGCGATTGATATTCTCTAGCGATACATCTTTGATGGCACTGTTGAGGGCATCCATTGCCTTGTCCGTATTGCCCTTGTTCGTTTGTATGTCAATCAGACATGAGTAGGCATTGCCGATGGCTCCTTCCGAAATCTTCGAGTTTCGCAACTGAGAGATGACAGTGGAGACGAGCTTCTCGTCTTGCTGTTCGCGAGCCGTTTGCAGGACACGCTGGAACATCAGACGTGGGGCATTCGACAAATGCTTATCCCAGATCTGCTTGGAGGCCACCTCCTGGCCTGTCGAAATATAATGCATCCACAACACATTCATGGGACCCAGTTGATTGTGCGAGGCGTATTTTTCGGCGAGGGATTCGTCTGTGGAAAATAAGCGGTCCAAAGGATTAAAAAATTGAACTTGAAATAGAATTGTGATTGTGTTTTCTTACATTGCGCCACCAACTCGGGATGCTTGTCCAGTATGCCAACAGCACCGCCACGAGGGAACTTCTCCGCCAGTTTGGCTGCCTCCTCGGCTGTTTTCGCCGCACTTATGTCGCTGGTCAGTTTCTTCAGCAAATCCTCCGCCTTGCCGGCCACAATATGTGCATGGCAGTAGCGATTATCGAAGGAGATCAGACGCTTCTGTTCATCGTTCAGCTTGCCACCAATCTGTTGCAAAGTCTCTAGATCTCCTCCAGCGGCTATTTTGTTCAAATAGAATTTGAATATTTTGAGCTGTGGATACTGTTTCGCATCCAGCAATTCCTCCACATATTTGGTAGCTTCATTCAAACGCCCGGCACGGACCAGCAGTTCAATGAGATGTGAAGCATCCAGCACGCTGACGCGATCGCCGCTAATGAAGCGTTGTTTATAGGCAATAGCGCCATCAATATCTTTGGCTTGGATGGCTTTTCGGAAGCCGCTGATGTTGGATATTGACTTGGGTGCGGCAGGTTCGCGTGCTGGCGTTTTAGCTGCCGGAGGTGGCCGGGGAACCTCTGCCTCGGATTCAGTGTTGCTGGGCTCCTTGGCCAGAGCCGCTTTCGTCTTGTTGTTTCGCTGCTGAGTCTTTGTTTCGGGCACCACGAAAGGTATATCAATATTCTGGCGCTTCAGAAGGTCCGCCAATCTTAGCATGAATGCATCTGTGGGCGTAAAAGCCTCTTCTTGCATCTTTGTCCATAATCCCAAAGCCTTCTCCGCCTCATTGGCTTTGTCGTAGCTAAGTAGCAGTGTATAATAAATCTTGTTACGATCAATGTGCCCCAAATCCTTGGTGGCTTCTATCAAACCCTCCAGCGGCTGGATCATGCCCTCGTTCTTATAACGCTCGCAGGCGCTGCTGATGCGTTGGGGACGCGTGCGCAGTCCAGGAGTCTCAAGGATCTTGCGTGCCTGGCGTACGCGTCCGCATTCCACAAAGGAAAAGACCAAATCGTACAGACTGTTGACCTCACCGTGTATGCCGGTGCTCAGATCTGTGAGGCGCTGCAAATTTCCCGCGTCCTCCTTTTGGATGAGTCTGCAGGCCAACTCATTTTTCCAGGGAGTTGATTTGTATTTATTACAAATATTCTCGAAAGTTTCCATTGCCTTGGCCACGTCATCTTTGTTCAGATGCACCTTGATAAGTGGTCCCAAAAGCACATTTGTGGGTAATACATAATTGCCACCGACAAGCGAATCGAAGACACTCTGTAGTTTTTGGACATCACCTGCCTCGGCAATTGCATTCAAAGTGCGCCACAAGGTGCTCACATAATTGAAACTGCCTTCGCCCTCACCGATAACTGATTCCTTCTTGTTCTCGTCCAACAATTTAAGTGCCTCCTCCGTGCGGTCCTCCTGCAGCAAGAGATCAGCCAAACGCACTGCCTTGAAATTGTCCAGCTTGAAATTTGGATCGGCGCCCCGCAATTTGGCATATTGGGCCAAAGCATCGGCGGTACGTTTGTGATGCGTATATAAATCCACGAGTTGAGCCCAAATACCCACTGGAATTTGGAATTCCTCTGCTTGCAAACGTTCGATGACCTGCAACGTCTTCTCAATATTTTGTGAGCGGAAGCAGGCATTCAACAATTGGCGTTTTATGTTGTTTGAATTCTCCCCCTTGGCCTCCACGGTGACTATAAAGCGCTCCAATTCTGCAAAAAAGAAGACAAATATAATTTGGGGTTAGCGTTAGTTGTAATAATTATAACTGTTTTGTTATTCTATAGAAATATTCGAATAATAATCGGTCGTAAGTCCCTCTACTCACCATCAATGGTTAAAGAGTCCAAACCACGTTTACGATTCGCACTATCTGGCAGTGGTACGGGTTCCAGATCGCCGGAACTCAATTTTCCCAGCAATTCTGCTATTTTGGGCGTCATTTCAGCGCCCAGCAGTTCAGAGAGACGTGTAGCATTACCGCTGCTTATGGACAAGCCCTGCTTCACGAGCCCAGGCAAAAGCCTCTCTAGAGTAAGCACGCGTTCGTGTCGGAAATAGATGGCAGTATCGTACACTAGGGCTCCTACTACATCCACAGGGTTGCGATCGTTGGTATTGATCGTAGCTGCTGCATCCTCTGCCACAGCCTCCTCCTCCTCTTTGACTTGCTTGTCGCTTGCAGCGCGCACCTGAAGGCCTTCATAAAGTTGACGCACGCATCGTATAAATGCCGGATAGTCATGGGTATTACTCAGAGCTAGGATCATGGGCTGTTTGAATATTGCAGGCACATAGTAGGCACGATTCTGTTCCATAATCCTGGCGGCATCTGATATCTGATGAGTGACCAAAGCCGAATAGACGGCGGATGTAACTGCAGTTGAATTGGGAACACCAGCATCACGAAGAGCTGTTACAATACGGTCCCAGTTCTTCTCTTTTAGATTGGGTATGACATATTCACGAATGGTCTCCGAGTTGGGAAAGACGGAAAAATCTTGCTGCATGCGACGCACAATTTCCAGAACTTGATTCGATTCCGCGGAACATATCAGAGGCCAGAAATAGTGCTGACGTATAGGCAAGCCGGCGTTCTTCATCTCTTGTAGCAGAGGCAGCGCATTATTTACCACTCCATTGGTCAAGCCCGCCTCGGTGGCGATTGTCAAGGCCTTAGGATTCAAACCTTCCGCTTGAAGTGTTTTGCAAATGCTCAATATCTTCTCCACAGGCCGATTCGCCTTGACCAGCTGCCGTATATAGAAGGCACCCACATCGATGGGCTCACCATTAACACGTGTACCTCGTGGCATCAGACGGAGCAGCTTCAGACCCACATCCTCGTAGCCTTTGTTAACCAAACGCAAGATAATGTTGACAGCATCCTGATTGAAGCCGGGCGAGATGCGCAGCTTGGCCAGCACAGCGTCCACTTTGTCGCCATTGCCATGTACACTGAGGGTGTAAGCAATATCGAGTAGATCCTTGTCCAGCAGTATGATCTCCTTTTGCTCACACTCGGCCAGCGTCTCTGTAACGGACGCAATGTCGCCGTGACGCGCAAATGCGCAAAGCAGGGTGGTGTAGGTGTCGGCACTAGGCTCCAGACCCGCCTGTTTCATCACGCTGAGGATGCCTTTCGCCGATTCTAAATCGTTGGCCTATTAGCACAAATACAATTAAATTGTTGTGAACTATTTTGGTAGGTTTGTGAAGTCTTACCTGCGAGTGTCCCAGTATCAAGGAGTTGAATACGTTTTCATTTACAGGCAAGCTTTTGCCGCGCATAAACTCCAGGATGCGAGTCGCGCCATCAATGTCGCCCTGTTGGCAATAGCGCGCTATTAGACGCTGATAGGTGACTCGATTCGGTTCAATGCCCTTAGCCTCAATCTCAGCCAGAAAATCGGTAGGTGCAAACTGGTGTTCATTCTCCAGATATACACGCAACAGAGCGTTGTAGTGTGAGATGTCCATGGGCACATTTAGTGCATTCAGTGTCTTCCAGATGTCCTGAACCAGGGCTGTGCGCACCTCGGGCAGCTCCTCAGGCACCAAATTGCCACAGCAGCGAATGACAAGCAAAGATTGTGAGCTCGTAGCCGTACGGTGCGTTCGAATCTCGTCCAACACCTCCTCTAGATCTCGACGTGAAATGCGTCCAATGCGTCGTACATCATGATCCAGACGCTTGATCTGTCTATCCAGGTTCAACTCTGCCTTGGGCGCTGCATTGTTCGCAAAACCACTAAATTTAGTAGAGAGGAATGGACAGTGAGGTGAGGTTATGTAAATAGTTTCGATGTTTTCACAATTTGTTCAATGATATCATCAGCAATTAACTTAGTAAATATTATGCAATTGTTAGACATTATTGTTTAGACATTTTGTGACATGGACGAACTTGCAACATTACAGACTCAGCATTGCGTAATGCCGGGCGGCATGAAGTTTCTTTTTCTAGCACTTACTTCGGAAACTGGCCGCACATACAAGGTGCGTTCTGCAACAAATTGCCGCCGTCGCAATCGCGGACTGAGTTAACGACGACGTTGCGCGTGAAGCCGGCAAAGCAACGCAAGAGTTTTCCCGTGCGCAGTATGGATGCCATTATTTTTCTTTCGTTTTAATTAATAAATCCAATTTATTATTAAAAACTCGCCCAGCTGTGTGCACGCACGTTCGAGGCTCGAAGAGTGTTGGTAAGTACGCGCCGCGAAAGCAGTGCTGTTAAATACTGGTACGCGATGGCGAACATACACGGTCAGGCATGTCTGAAGGCGCAGCTCAAATGAGTTTGCAAAAGAACATTAAAACAAAATAAATCAAATTATAATTTATGAATCGACATAGTATATATTTTGTGGCTCCATTAAAATGAAAAGGGCAATAGCAGAGCAGAAAAACATCACACTCGCACATAAACGCACACGAATATGAAGAATTAAAAAAAAGAGAGCAGCTTTAACCGATCTGCATCCAGTGTTGCGAACTTAGCCATTTTCACGCCAGCTCTGGAGTTTTCTAATCGTCAACTGACAAAATTTCAAGTGGCTTTACAAATTTATATATACATATATACAAAATAAACCTGCACACTTACTAAACTAATATGATGTTAATATATCTGCTATATATTCACTTAGATCTCACCAAATCGGCTTATCGTCACTTTCACTTAGAAAAGGATCGACCGCTTTAGCATTTGAGGTTTGAAGAGTTTTGTTTAAAAGCCTTTTTCGTTTATTCAGATATTTGTTTGAAGTTTCATACAATATTTTTACAAATAAATAGGAAATCCTCTATGACCAGATAATGCTTATTTGAACTGAATTCTCTTCCACTGATAAAATGGTAGAAATTGCGATTTATTGCAATGAAAAATCAGCTTGTTACTTCTTAGAGTTTTTGTTTTCCTGAATTAGCCTTTTCTGACCCTCAAGAGTTGCAACACTGTCAGAGAGCTTTCATTCCGGCTGCAACGCTGCCAACGTCTGCGTCAACATCGACGTCAGAGGTAGCAGCATCGCTTTCTTTGTCGCCCGCCATCGTTGCTGCACTCATTTGCAAAAGTCGTGTTGCATATTACGGTCGGTTGTCGTCACTGTTGTGTTTCTGTTTCTTCCTTTCTGGTTTCTTAATTTACGTTGACTTCAAATTTACTCGTTTGTTCGTTCGTTCGTCGTTCTTGTTGTTGTTGTTGCCATTGTGCGTGCATAATTTATTGTTTCACTTTTTTTGCATTTCACACGCGTCCGTTCGTTGCCCCGCGAGTCGCGCCTCCTTGTACAAACGTATGCGACTTTTTCGCAATGTCGTCAATGTTGTTGCTGTTTTTGCGTTTGTTGTTGTTGTTGCTGCATTCCACAGCGCACTTAAAAGCTCTCAGCCTCTTTTTACTCGCCTTACGGCGACCATAAAATTTACATCGGATAAGCTATGATCAGACAGCCAAAAAATTTGCGTGCAAATTTGTCGCATTTAACAAATGCTCGTACATACACTACGAATGTAATGTTTCTTCAATGTAAACCAATAGGAATTCTATTCATTGGGATTATATTTTAAAAGTTAACTTGCAGATTATTTAGTTTTCGGGTCGTAGCTTAGTTGGCAGGTGCGAATAAATGGAACATTTTGGAACTCTTTGGAATCTTCTTTGAGATTTCCCCATTCGACGATCACCGACAGTTGGTGTGGGCGGCAAGCGCTCTCTCCTCACACCATTGTATTAATTTAAAAGTTAATCGTTGTTAATCATTTCAACCTCTTTGGGAGTTCTGGGAGTGAAAGAACGAGACCAAGGTGCGAAAGACCGACTTGTATATACTCTGCAACCGGCTATCTGTTTGCCAAAGTTCCGTAACTTATCTACAATTTATTGCACAAATTGTTCCTGTGGCGGATATTTAATATATTAAACCGCTATAGGTGCTGTCACGCCTCCTTCTGCTGCTACACAGATTTGGCGCTTGGACCTTCTTTATATCTGTGCACCCATCAGATAGAGGGTATACAAATGATAAAATTCATTGCCCTGCTGTCGATTACAGCACACTTACACACTCACAAGTACACACACACACACCAATTTGCACAGCCACTCTCATATTTGGCCGTACTTGGAGCAAGTGCGCGCTGCATTACAGCTATTGAGCGCATTTTGGAGACAGAGCGAACGAGAGAGCGAGAGAGAGAAACGTGGCAAGCAAATGAAAATTGCAATACAGTACAGTGCTGCCAATAATTTAGCCATTTTTGAGCTGTGCTCTTGAGTTTTTCAAATTCCTGTTGTGGGAAAATAATATATACTGTGGCTGGACTTATAGAGTTTCTGGAAGTTCAGATTGCCTTTTTTAAAATAAAGTACAGAATTATACTGTTTGTGTAGAATATACTCAAACATATCTGATCTAATTTTATTTTGTGTCTGGAAACTTATGTATGTTTTATATATGTATTTGTATATTACTTTTGGGATTTGTTATAATGTTTCAGGTTGTAGATTATTATTATTCTTTATTATTTATTTAATGCTAGCTTAAAGTTGAAATGAAAATTATAATTTGAAAATAGTCTTCTGCTACACATATTAAAAATAGAAGAGCTTATGGAGTAGGATAGCTCAGTACTATATAGGAATGGAAACCATATAGGTTAGCTTTTAATATGAATTTGAATGTGTTTTGAGCTATTTCTGGCTTGATACGATTCTGAATTGGCAACTCTGAATACGTTGCCACGCAAAGCAACCGGCCGATGTTATATACCGCCGACTCACAGAATGTATATATACACGTGTACATATGTATATATTTATATATGTACATATGTATATATGTGTGTGTAATTGTCTGATTGTGCATGCGTGTGTGCGTTGGATGCACTTGGTGCGATTCATTTGCTTTTATTGCCATTTTTGCGGCCGTTGTCGCACTGCCTTCGCTTCCTACGTCGCGCTGCTGGTGCGTTTTGTTTTTGTGCTCTTGTTGGGGTCTTGGCGCTCCAGGCAGAGCACAGCGGCAGAGCAGCGCGCATTGACTTTGATCGGCTTTGGAGTTCGTTGGCGGCGACGGCGGGTTTTGCGAAAAACGGCAACTCTGGCCTGCACTTATACATGAACAGAACGTGGAAAAAGTTCTCTACCCTTTTGTCAGTGTGGAGCGCGACTTTGAAATGCACGGCACGGCAATTCGAAATGCTGCACAAATTTGCAAAAAACATTAAAAAAAAACGCAAAATATAAATTAAAATAAAGTAATGCAGATGGAGGCGTAAAAAACGGTGAATAATTAAAAATCAAAGAACTGAAAAACTTAATGAAAAAGCAAACGAGTTTCAAACGGTGGCAATATTCTAAGAAAACTGTCCAGTGTTGTTTAAAATATATTTGAAAACCATAAAAGCTATAAAAAACACCAAGAGTAATAAAATTTCTAAAGAATTCGCAGAAATAAAACAAATTTTTTCCGCATGATGATGACCTACGACAAAGGAAATGAAGTCATACCAATACACGCGCATCGCATACATACACACACAGGCAGAGCAGCGAAAAAATGAAAAAGCAAAGTGCAGCGCCGCAGCTAGCAAGGGAATAAGTAAAACAGACGCAATACAGCAACTGCAACAACAAAAACAACAATCAGTCAACCAAGCAAGCAAGCAAGCAAGCACCAACCAGCCAAATAGCGCAAGAAAAAGCAACGACGCTTCGTCGCTCGCTTGCAACTGCGCATGCACATGCACACACACACACACACACACACATGAATATGCACACACACACATGCATTCGCCTGCATTGCTAAAGTTTGCGTGTGTGTTGGTGCGCTTTGTTCGCCGCTCGTTCGTTGGGTGCAAAAAAGAAAAAAAAGACACCACAAAATTGTCGAAATGAGGAAAATCTTTGCAGCGGAATTAAACGCTTTTCTTCGCTTGCGACGCATTTAGTGCAAATATTTAAAAATATGATAAATGATATAAGATGGTGCCGTAAATTTGCTGTACATACAAATGAATTTTAATTTTATATTTGCATGCGTATGTGTGTGTTTGTGTTTGTGTGTATACTTCATACAAATACAGTGTATCGATAGAGTCTTTGTACAGTAGTAGCTTATGTCTTCGAATTGATAAAAAGTAAATAGATAATTTTCCAGATATTGCTTTGCCAGAATTATCCGTCGGTGTCTTACAAACTTTGCAGATTTCCAGATTTAAAAACCTTCCTTAAGGAACACTTGAAAATTGAGTATAACTATTTCTGAAAATGGAATAGCTGAAAAGTTTTTCTTAGTTTTTCACAAAATAACAATTTCCTATAAGTGCGTTTAGGAACATTTCAAAAAATTGAGTTCTAAGAATAGTTTTTAGTTAAAATTGTTGAAGACTTGGAAACCTAGAAAAAACTAGTTTTTTTTTAAGTATTGACATCTTAGATGAATTGTGTATTGCATTTGATATTAGTTTTCAACAATATCTTAGGCTTTAAAGTTTCTGAAAGCTTTATATCAATAAATGAATTATTTCTTGAAACAAAATTACATGAAAGATTCTTAGAAAACTGCTTAAAATTGAATTAGTTATCAAGAGTTATATCTCCTAAAAGTTTTTCTTCAATTGAAAGAAACTCACGTTTGTCTTTCCACATTTTCGAACATTACTGCCTAGATAATTGCCCATATAGGCGTTGATAATTTCTGTACTGTTTGCCGTCTTAAAAGGTACACCGTATATATATTGACCTCTTTGTTTGTTTCTCTGCCAGTTTTTTGCTTTTTGTGCATTCTTTTGCATATTTTAAAAATGCGCCTAAAGCCAAAGGCAGTTGAATGCACTTGTTCATTTCTTTAACACACTGATAATGAAATATACTATAATTGCGTTTTCTTTGCCTGTTTTTGCAAGATTTATTTCAAATGTATCTTTCCATTAAATATTTCATGGTTCATAAATACTGCAAAATTGTGACTCATAGTTTTGACCTTGAAAGTGGCATTTGCTGTTCTATAAAATCAAAAACTATTGCTCAACTAAATGAGAACTTGCTTATTTGTAAGCAGGTATGAAAAATTGTGCGTCTTTGATGACAAATTTCGTGGCTATACATACACATATTGAGTGAAATTGGAACAGATACACATTTGTGGCAAG